GGGTTAGCCATCTATAAAAGAATTGATAAACTTTTTGTAGATATATTTAAAAATACCTTTTGCGATAAATAGATCCTAAAAATATTGCTGTATATAGTTATAAATACCAAGCAAGCTCAATAGTAGTTGTGCATAAGTATCTTTGTATAATAGTGATTATGAAATGATAGATAATAATGAATATTATCCTGATGATTATAACTATGAAATTGTGGAAGGTTCAAGAACCTCAACCGAAACCTTTTCATCAGCAGCTACAACACCTAGTATTCAGACAACATATTTTTCTAAACTTTCAGACAGCAAAAATAAAGGTGATAAAATTAGTAATAAGCTGGAGATTTTAAATAACTAATCATTTATAATTTTTGTTTTAGCTAAAGAACCCGCAAAAAAGAGACCATACAAATGCAAACAACCATTATTTACTTAGGATTATTTTGATAAAAAAGTAAATGATAAGGGTGAAGAAGTGTAAGTTTGTAAAATCATAAATGAAAGTGGTCAAAAGTGCAGTACAGAATATAAGAGTATAGGGAGTTCAACGGGAAATCTTATTACACATCTTAGGGATAACCATGGGATTGTTTCACAGGATGGAGAAATTTTAAAAAAGATATAAACAAAATAGTAAAAATAAATTCAGAATTAATTAAAAACTTCTTTTTTTTTTTAAAAAAAAAAAAATACCAATGTTTTTTAGCCACGAGATTCCAAGATTACTAATTTTGCACAGAAAGTTCATCCTCATCCTCAATGTATTCAAAAACAATATGAAGAAGCACTTCTCAGATGGATGTTATGTTTAAACCAGCCTCTTTCCACTGTTACTGATAAAGCATATAAAGAAAAAATGGCCGTATTTGATCCTTCTTTTATTATTCTGGAAGAAAAAAAAATTAGAACTATGATCATGAAGAGTTACAATTATAACCAGGAGGATTTACGAAACCTTATTCAAAGTATCAAAAATGGTTTACTTATGACAGACTTCTGGTCCAGCAAGGCTAAGCATGGATATTTGAGAATTACAGCGACTTGGATTACGCCAAATTTTGAAATTAAAGATGTAATACTAGAAAATAAATATATTCCCTCACCACATACAAGTAGAGTTATTGCTAAAGAACTTCACAAGTGTATTGTATCTTGGAACCTTGTGGGTCGTATAATATCAATCACTACTGACAATGGACGTAATATGGTTTCAACTTTTCCCTTGCTAAATCAAAAAAATAGATGTGAAAATATTAAACGCCTTTTATGCTCAGCTCATACTCTTTAGTTGGCAATTAGAAAAGGATTAGCGCTAACAGAGATTCTAGTAGCATGCTCAAGAAGACTAATCCAGTTTTTCCAATATCAAAAGCAGGTTGAACGATTAGAAGAAGTACAAAAAAAACTTGGTTATACAGATGTTTTGCGTTGTATTCAAGATATATCTACGTATTGGAATTCTCTGTATTATGCTTGGGATCATTTTTTTTCCCTAAAGGATGCAATTATTCAACTTCAAACTGATTTATTTATTTCACTTGATCGAGAAATAAAAAAAGATGGTAATAAATTAAAAAGGATACTTCTCTCTGATGATGAATGGGAGCTATTAGATCAACTTATCGATTTGCTAATACTATTTGAAGAGGCAACATGAGAGTTTTCCGGAAGCACATATGTTACGTTGAGTAAAGTCATTCCAACTATTAAAGAAATGATTTTTGATTTAGCATGTGAAATACCACCAAGTAATGATCTTTTTTAGATAAGGATACTGTATTTGAATCGGATGCTGAAAGTATGCAGCCTATTGATTGTGACAATAACAAAATTATTAGTAATGTTACAAAAAAAAAATTTTTGATTAAAAACCCATTAGATATGACAGGTATTTTAGAAAAAGTGAAAGAAAATATTTATAATGCACTAATCTGTTATTGGAATGATCCAAATGATCTTGGTTTGATGGCAGCTTTACTAGATCCGCATTATAAAAGCTTGGATTTTGTAGATGATGATGAAAAGCAACTTACTATTCAAAAGCTTCGTGATGAATTTGATGAATTAGAAGAACCAACATCCGAAGTATTAGTTCATCCAACCTTGACTAATACAGAATCTTTAATATGGTCGCATAAAGAATATCTCCAACAGCGTCAAAAGAAAAAAAAAAAAAGAAGATAAATTGGTGCCAAACCTGCAAGCTTTTGATGAAATATCAACTTACCTATCATTTCTATTAGCATTAAATACTGAAAACCCTTTAGAGTGGTGAAAAATGCATTCACCTAAGTTTCCAAAACTTACCAGAATAGCTCGAAAGTATCTTGGTATACCAGCTACATCGGTTTCAAGCGAAAGACTATTTTCAGATGCCAGAAACTTGATTAGCTCTAAAAGAACAAGCTTAGATCTGACTTTAGTAGATCATATCTTATTTTTAAAAAGGAATATAAATGCAATGCAGGTTTTTGCGCCGGAATAGGACAATGAAGTATAGATAAGAGCAGTCAAAAGAAACAGATATAATGAATAAATAGCCTTTGAAAAAATGGATAAATATCATCAAAAAAATATATATATATTTGAATGGTACTTGAAATAAGCCAAAGGTGGCAATTTAGACAATTTAGATGTTTGAACCTAAAGTTTTTTCAAAATTTTATTTTTAATAAAATCTTAAAATAGCATATTATATATGACAACGATAATATAAAAAAAAACTATCAGATATATGAAATTTATTAAACTATTCGATTTGTGCTTCTTTAAAATAGAACTTTGTTAGCTTTACGTATTATTTTAGAAAAGTTCACTGTATTAAAAATAAATAATCTGAATTACTAACTTTAAATTTGTATAAGTTTCTGAAGTTTCTGAATCACGAAAGTTTTTTGCGTTCAATACTATAACATGTCGATTTAAGTCACAAATAGGTCAGTAAAGTAAAATAAAAAAGAACAAAGCGATCTCAATAACAAGGAACATGCCTTATCATACTTGGTTGTTCTCGCAACAAATTAAAATACATCTGTATATGCGTACTGTATGTGTATAATATCGATATTTAATTAGATATACCATTAATCTTAACCAATCGGAATCATAATTTATGCATCACGTGTTAAAATAATATGGATATAATCTCTATCCTCAATCTGAGATATATTATGGATCTATCCGCTTAAAATTGACAGATAAGGATATCTGTGTTTAATTCAAATTGTTGGATCAATCCGAATTAGTCGGATTACAGATCAAAGCTTACAATTAA